TTGCACAGAACACACTAACTTTTGGGCTGTCCCCACATGTTCGAGTGTTACATGGGGATGTTGTAGCCCCCATATGCGAACATTGTGCCTGTTGACTTTCCCACTTAGGTGAAACGTAGCTTCATCGCTAAAAATTACACGAGGCAGAAACAATTCATCTTCCATGTTTTTCAGCATACGACCACAAAATTACAGTTTGCGCGAAGAGCCTGTACCAGTTGTAGGGGGTATGGTTTGTACACTAACCGGCGCCTCAATACACGCCAGACAGTTGTTTGCGATAGTCTAAGTCCTCTACTAGCACTACGGGTTGACTTCATTGGGCTACGCTCCAAGCTCACTCGAATGCGCTCCACGTTCTCCTCCGATACACGCGATCGGCCCGGACTTTTCACCTTACACAGAGAACGAGTTTCATCAAATTATTTATTCCAACGATAAATGGTCTTCCTCGTTGGAGGTTGGATGTTAAACTTGCGACGAAATGTACGCTGCACCGCAGTCGCAGACTCACTTTTACTGAACTCACGAGTGCAAAAAAAAAAAATGTGTTGCATAGTAGCCATCTCGATTACAACTGACGCGCTGCTGGGGTGCTCTAGCGGTAGCATTAGAAACTTTACAACATCCTCTTTCAAATGTACTTTACAGAATTCAAATGCAACGTACAGTTCAGGAAATATAGCCAATTGAAATTGTGTCCATCTTCCTGAATCACACTGTAGGTAAATAGGTAGGTAGGCAGGTAGGTAGGTATGTAGGCAGGTAGGTAGGTAGGTAGGTAGGTAGTTAGACAGTGTAGTGACTGTAACTTGGTTCTGGATTGATTGCAGTCATGTCTTCACTAGCCGTTGCAGGGTAGCGGCTTCCAGTGGCGAACGTTCCCCTTCCTGTGGGTTCCAGAATGCCCCCCGGCCTCAGCTCCCAACAACTGAACCTGAGTAATCTTCGAAGAAACTCACTCACCAACTCCACTGACTGACTCGCAGGTTGGCGTCACACCAACTGCAACTCTCCTGACTCCACTGAACCTCTCAGCTTCTCCCGTTTACAACATCTCGGCACCTACCGCATAGAAAACACCGATCTTCACTTGCTTTATCCAGTTGTTGCTTAGCGTAGCGTCTGTTGGTGTTTGCTGGACGCTGCCTGGCCAGGGGTTTATATGCAAACGTAACGCGCCCACCCCACCTGTTTTCTGTCACTCACGCAATACAGAGCGTCCAAAAGCACTACGGAACTGCCAGTATGTACGGTAGCCAGCCAGGTATCTTTAAGGGTGCGTCATTGTGAAAGAATGACGCACGTCTTTACGTCAGCATTAGAAAGTTACTGACTCACTCATGGAGCTGAGTTCTTCTCGAGAAGCCGCCAGTTGTACAGCCACTCAAAAATTTCCAAATATTTTGTGGAACCCGAAGGTTCATTACTGTGATCACAAGAGCCCTTCACTGGTTCATATCCTGAGCCAACTCGATTTAGTCCATACCACCCCATCCTATCTCTGAAAGATCCATTTTAATATTATCCGCTCACCTACATCTTAGTCTTCCTAGTTATCTACTTCTTGCTGGCTTTCCCATCAAAATCCTATATACTATCCTCTTTTTCTCGCTCGTGCTACATCCCTTGCCCACCTCGTCCTCCTTGACTTGATGATTCTAATTATACTTGGAGAAGAGTACAAGTTATGAAGCTCCTCATTATGCAGTTTTCTCCAACCTCCTGTCAATTCCTCTCTCTTCGGTCCAAATATTCTCCTCAGCGCCCTCTGTTAGAAGGTGCTGGATACGTGTACGGCAGGATGTGTGCCTAACTGAGGTCTCGTTAATGAGCTCACAGAACACGTGTTATGTACGTTTGCATACCCTACGCGACGCCACAGAGCTTTTAGATGATAAGGTGATTATGAACAGCAAATCACTACTGACGTAATGAAACATGTATCCCAAAAATTATTACTATCTTCTGGGATATAACGCCGTGCAGTCCGTTCAAAGTCAACCGACGTTTCGGAGGAATATCGCTTCCATTTTAAGGGTCAAATTAGCTGGACATGTCATCCGCTTTCAGTCTGGTTATTTTTGCTCATCTTATTCAACCCTGATAAATATGGAGGCCGATATATTCTTCTCCGAAACGTCGGTTGATTTTCAACGGACTGCTCAGCGATATAACCCACCGGTCTGAGGACCTCAAATCCCACATAGTAAAAACATAAAGTGTTCCCTGTGTGTAACTAATTAAGCACTACACCATGGAGGCGTATGGGGGAGTGGGTATAGATCCACATTTTCTTGACCTCGGCACTAGCTGGAGAGGAGCGGTCAGCTTCACCCCCCTGTCGCTTTACCCCCGGGGAAAAAGCCCACAGTAATTGATGCTGGGTAGGCCCCAGAGCCCTACCGGAACTCGAACTCCGACTCTTCGGCTGTCCAGCCCGTGTTCAGTCGCTATCCCGACTCCTTAGAAACCTGTTGCACTTTACACCGTGATGGTAGCCAGAAGTGCACACCACGGTCCCTTGCGAAGAGTTTGCCCTTCTGTATCCGTGGTGGAGATATGCCACATCCGTACACATATGCTGACAGCACTTGCTCACGAGAACGCCAAAATTACTTACACACCGCCAGCTGCAACACAGCGTCGCCTCAAATGCAGCCTGCTTCCCATGGCGTCTCTACAGCCCGGCGTCTCTCTATCGATTTCACGAAGAGCGACGTCCTGACGTCTGCGCGTGTCCCCCCGTCAGGCGTCTGATTGCTATCAACATGGCGTGATTCGGAGACCTTCGCAGTTAAGAACGGACGGAGCGCACTCAACTTGGCGACGACAATATTCGTACTACAAATAACACGAGCCTCTTGCCAGAACTTGGATGAAGGGGGCTGGCGTATCTGTGACGTTCTGGACTAGTATTCGGAGGCGCCGGGTTCGAATCTGGGCCGAGATGCATGCTATCATTCCTCAGACCCTCCAAGGGAATGTCGGGATTATTACTACCGCGTCCTTGCGTCTAGGCATTCGTGTATCAATCCTGCCATGCCAGTCTACTGGCAGGGTCCTGAGGAAACAACCCCCTGGACATTTGAGATTGTTTTCACGTGATAGAGTGTCTA